GACCTCAGGTCCTCCATAAGAAGCGTTGTAATTAAGATGATACAAGTGAAGAAACAGAATTCTAGAGGATGTTTGTTGTGTATAAAGAGAAAGGAAGAAGATTCTGGACAATATCCCAGCCTACAATTTGAGCATTTTAGACATGTGCAGCTGTCCTAGCTCCATGGAATTTGTTTCATGGTAATTTTCCAGTAGGCATTTCAGAGCTGAAACACACAGGCTCATTTGCTACCCTACTTTGCATCAAACATTTACCTCAGGAAACCATCATTCTGTACCCAGGAAATAGAACTGAGGACACACCATCCTCAGGCCAGTCTACCAGTGATGGCAAAACCCATAAGAGTCCATATTCAGAATACACCCAAGTACTGCAAATGATTACTTAATAGCCTATTGGGAAACATTTTAGCTTCTTGGTTGAAAAAAGGTTTTCAAAAATAGCAGGTCAAATAGTTCTAGGTCTCTGTGACCTAAAATGTCTAATGAAGTCGAAGAATTATTGGAGCATTTTAGAGAAACCTGAGGACACGCAGGCTAATGATTTAGAAATGATGTCTCTGTCATTGGGTTAGAGAAACATGTGGCTTCTAGCTTAGTATTTATTCAGCAACATTCACTAATGTTGGTAGCACTGGCTGTGAGAATTCTTCTATGTCCTGAATATTCTAAGGCAATTTTTTAAATAACTAAAAAAAAAAGAACTTATTTTGTGATGTGTTCTTCAATTTTTGGAAAATTAAATGATAAAGTTCAAATGATAAAGTAAAAAATAATGAAAACCCAATAACTGAAAAGCAGACATCACACTGAGAATTCTATTGGTACATATGAGATATAAGATAAATAATAATTTTCTTTCCTTTCAGATTGGAAATCCGTAAGTGGCAAAGTATACTCATTTCAGGGGAGAAATGCAAAGGGAAAAAAAGAGGAAGCCCAAATTTAAAAAAAAAAAAAAAAAAATTACATTAACAGGACTATAGCAATTAAACCTATACTGACCTCTGGTGGTCAAATTTGAAAATGTATTTATATAGCAGAATTAAATAAATGATCATTTAACATATATTAATAACTAAGGTAAGGCAACCAGATGCCTCACTTTGTGTGAATATTAATGACTAGTATTTCAATACATTTTATAAATATACCACAGTTTTCCTATCTACTCTCCTGTTCATGCACATGGGATTATTTCCAGTTTTTAGCTACTATGAACATTTTTGTACAAGACTTTCTATGGACATATGCATTTATTTCTCTTAGGTATATATTGAAGAGTTGTTACAAAATGATCCAGAGAAATATCCAGAGACCCAGAGATATATGCAGGTTTTCTGAAATCTTTAGCTGACTAATTATTAGCACATGTGTGGGAGAAAAATACAGAGACTGGGCAAAGAATCATGAGAAAGGAAAGGAGCAGGTGAGAAAATTTCCCCAAATGACCTATGTCTTGGAGGATTTTGTGTTCATCACAGCCAAAATAAACAACAACAATAAATGTCTCATATTATAAAAGGCATCTGAGTACCAGAGCAGTACTTAGAAGGGCACTAATTATACATCAATTAGACTGCTTGAATTCATGGTGTGAATTTGTTCTCTCTCTCTCTCTCTCTCTCTCTCTCTCCCCCCCTCCTTTCCTCTCTCTGAAATCAATAAAGATATATTAAAAAAAAAATCATGAGGAATGCTTTATAGTAAATTAGGTTCTAATTTACAGCCTAACCATCTCACCTTTCTCCCCAGTTCACGTCCAGTGATTAATTACATTAGGTCTTGTTGGACAATCTCCAGTTAGAAATTGAAATTTTTGTTTGTTTTCATGGGATCTTGTCAGGGTGAATTGTGTTAGAGATTTTATTACTACAGGAAGAGTCATTATTCTGTAGGATTTGAAGTAAAAAACAGACTTGCCCACTGACCTCTTCGAGATGATTCAACATTTGGAAGTCAAGTGGTTTGAGCCAAAAAAAGAGAGAGTATGACACAGAGCTATTATTATAGTTTTTTATTTTTGGCAAAATTTCATTTAAAAGATTGGCTTTAAGCATTTCATATTTTTTTCTCCTAAAAAATTCTTCATAACATTAAATAGGTAACTGTTCTTTTATATTCTCTCTCTTCCTCTAGGAGTGGAAGACAGAATATTCTTTTTTATTTTTCTAATAACCTAGTTCATTGAAATCTTTTAAATATCAAAGTATAAGTCACAAATACAAAAAAATTAGAGCACAGGTGTAATAAGAATGACCAAGAATACTTGTAAAAATGCACATTCACACTTTCCAGCCCCAGAGATTAGAATCCATTAGGTCATCAGAGAAAACACAAGAATATGCACTTTTTCAACTTATAGAAGATGGAGATGATCTAGTTTAAGCAGTTTAAGATTTTATAGCCCCTCAAGAGAGAATATTATAGAATGGAGATGGACTCAAAGGACAGCTAAGAATTCTTAACTACACTATTAATTTAAAACAGTGAATTCATGGAACATGGCACATTACACACTTAAACATAACAATTCCAAATGTTAATTATTTTTGCTTTAGTTGTTATTTTGACATAAGCTTTCTTCCACAAGGGAAAACCAACTGAGAATGAATTATAATTGTTTTGGATCAGTAAAAATAGTTTTCTTCCATTTTATTGAATTTATTGGGGTGACACTAGTTAACAAAATTATACAGGTTTCAGGTGCACAATTCTACAACACATCATCTATGCACTGTAAAAATAGTTTTTAAATGGCTATAAGATGAAAGAAATCAAATATAGAAGGGTACATACTGATGGGATCCTTTTTACATAGAACTTCAGAATAAGCAAAAGTAATCTAGAAAGACAGACAACAGATCACTGGTGGCTGGTGTTGGGGGTTAACTACAAAGGGGCATAAGGGAATTTGGGGGTTGCTGGAAATGTTCCGTATCTAGGTCGTAGTGGTGTTTACACAAGTGTGTGTGTGTTGAAGCTCAGAGCACTGTCCACTTAAAATGGGAGAATTTCATTGGATGTAAATTATATCTCATTAAAGTTGATTAAAATAGGCTACAAAGATATTTGTGAGGTTTTTTAATGAGGCCAGATTTATAAAACAGCTTGACTAGGTAGCTCACGGAAGCTCCAGCAGGACCACAGCATTGAGTTTGGCGGCTGCAGTCAGGAAAGCGGTTCCTGCTCCTACCTGCAGGACGTGCAACTCTCGAGTTGAAAAATTTCCCAACTTTGTCTTGATCTTTGTCTTTTTTATGTGTGTGTGCATGCTTGCTTTGAAATTTTAAAAAGTACTGGGGGGAAAAAAAAAGAGAGAGAGAGAGAAATAGCATTTATACATAGTCTCTTTACCTAGAGTTAGTTATTTCAACATTTAGGCATATGCTTCTGAGCTTTATCGCTGTTAATTCTCCAGTTCATCTTAAAGAACACACATATGAATTCATTGCCCTAGAAATTAGAGGATAATGGGTACCACTCGAGGTTGCCTTGACTGCCGTGTCACCATCTTTATCTCATTTATCTTCACTAGAAGCAAACGTTACAATGAGCTTGGTCTATATATTTTTCTAATATTTTGCGTATCACGCATGCAGATGTACAAATAACTCAGTACGGCAAAAATAAAAGGAGATATAATGGCTCAAGGAAAATGCTATACGACTAATTTCTTAAAACTCGTGAGGAATGAGAGATTCTGTTCTGGTGGAAAATCCCCGTCGTCGGACGCGGGCCTGGCCGGGCTGCTGCTCCCTCCCCGGAGGAGACAGAAAGCCAGGCCCGAGCAGTGAAGGCAGCCCCGAGAGCCTGACCACATTAAACAAGAAGAAAGAAGGCCGAGAACCTTCCAGAGAGAGAGGCATCGACTTCCTCAGGCGAGCAGAAAGGAGAGATCTGGCAACTGCCTGGTTAGGCAAACTATAGACAGTAAGTTGTGTATTTGGTAACCATCCTGAGAAAGCTCGCTTTCCCCACATCACTCTTATTACCGCCGTATCATTGTGTGGTAGCAGAATCTGTACAACGGTAATTAGATTTTTTTTCTTCATTATTCTTCTGCAGTCGCTTTACTTCACATTTAGAATTTTGGATATAATTTGGCAATCTCAACTAAATAATTAAATCCTATTGATACAAATTTTAAAATATAATTAAATTTATATTAAGTTGTATCATATCAATTTATTCAGTGATCAACATAATTAATAACATTTTAGGTTAAAATTAAAATGAGCTTTTGTAAGATGTTACAATTAAATATTTATATTAGGAATTTGACAATTAAAGGGGGACTCCAATATCATTTTTAAATTACACTCATACAGAGGAATGGTAAGTAGTTGTTTGGATGGGGTGGTGGTGAGGGCAGTCAATCTTAAAAAAATATTCTTCAATCTACATACATGTTTTTCTTTATCAAACAACACATACTAAGAGCTAAGAATTATAAAATATTTGCCAAGTGCCAGATGCCAATGAACATACTTTATAGATTTCCATTAATTTGAACATCACAGCCACCGTGTGGGATGGACACTAGCATCATCCCCAGCTTACAGATGGGGAGTCTCATACAGGGGCTCAGACACTTAGCCGAGTGCATACAGTACAATGAAGCAGAGGGGGGACTTCAGCCCAGACAGGTGAGCCCCAGGTTCATGCACGGAAGCAGAATGCTCTTCCGTCTCTTCCGCAGAGCAGAGGGACGCACTGCAAGGAGGGATGGGTGAGACTTACGCTTCACAAGGGGTTGGATTATTTTGAGAGTTTGGGAACCATTGTGATGAACATTGTACTAACATTTCCATTTCAGTTTTCTTAGAGAAATAAAACCAGTATGTCTCTGATTTCCTGTTGCCTAATAGACACCACCAGTGAAAACCAGAAGGTTTCAGAAAAGTATATTTCAGAAAAAAAATACATATATATATATACATATATATACACACACACACGTGTGTGTGTGTGTGTGTGTGTGTGTGTATGTCCAAAAGAGTGTTTGGTCTCTTTAAACTCTGATAAGCTAGAACCTCACTTCAGCAACTCTAGAATTACCCTCAAATTTGGAATAGTACATTCATATATTTATGTATTTATATGTGCTTGTATATTATGTGTAGGTATCATACACATACTTAATGATGGGAAATTTCTGTTCTCTGAAGATATATTTCATCTGGAGTAATGAAAAGCATTTTGAGCTAAGTAAGATGGGTGGGTAATGTAGAACTGGGCAATATTAATTTGAAGTAAAAATAAATTTCGGCTAAAAATAATGAAATGGCCTTTTTAACATTCAGCTACCAACTCTGACATTTACTTTTTGTAGCAAAGGGCCCAGGTCTGCCTCTCCTCATTAACGAGTATAATATACTGGAAATTTGGACATACACAAAATTCTTTGTATACGATCTCCACACTGTTTTCTAGATTATGCAACACGAAGGATATATTGTGGTAAAAGGAGCACCCTTAGACATAATGCTGTAACAATGTAGACATTTTAGTGACCCCCCCCCCAAAGTCCTACCTTCATAAATAGTTCATAAGAAGAATTTTTCATTTTTATACTTGACTGAAAATCAGTTTTCCTTCATTCTCACATTTGTGAAACAAATCATTTACTGACTCCGAGATGAGTTGGGATCCATTTGCTACATGAAAATGCTGTTCTCAGCAAAAGCTGTCTAGTGTCCGGTAGAGGCGTTCTCTTGACCACTGCTGCCACCTGCTGGTCGTGTGGTTGTTAGATTTTAGAAAAAGCCGTGCATAGAGCTCCAGTCAAGATGATGCAAAATGCAAGTATCATTAATAGGTAGTTTTGTTGACCCTGAATAATAAAAAATAATAACTGTAATTAAGAACACATGAATCAAACATTAGGAAAAGCACAGACTCTCAAGATTACTAAGAACCTTACTAACCATCTTCCTTAGCCACCCATATGCTTTTTTGCTATTTCTCTAAGTGGTCATTCAGATTCCCTTGAAAACCCACAAGATCTTTACTAATTCACCTGTTCAGTAAATATGGTGGGCTCCTACTGTGCATCACATGTGCTGGGGTTAAAATATGCAATAAATAAATAAAGTACAAGGGCAAAGCATGCCCTTATTCAGACAAACATATAACATGGGAGACAGGAACTGATAAAATAATCACAGGAAAGGATGTTACGAAGTGAGAGGGGTGTGAATAAGCACCCCTGAGTTCCTGAGTGTGTTGTAAAAGAATCTTAACAAGGTGGTTTGGAGGGTGGGAAGTTGAGCTTCTAACTGTAAGAGTCAATGGATGGGGTTGGGAAAGAGGGCAGCAGGTAGGAATTCCAGGTAGAAAGAATGTTATGTGCAAAACTCTGTTGTAAGAGAAAGCATGGTACTTGCCAAGGGCTGAAAGGTCAGTGTGACTAGAGCAACGCGAGTTAGGTAGAGAAAGGTAAGGTCAGAAGGCTGTGGGCCCGAGCATACAGGGATCTAATAGGTCATGGTAAGCTTTTGAGTTTTATTTTTTGAAGCAATGGAAAGACATTAAAGGGATGGACACAGCTAGATGTGGTGAAAGATGGGATTTGCATTTGATAAAGCCTACACTTCTTTACAACGGTGAACAGACTGGAGGGGGCCAGATGGATGGAAGGAAGCCAAAAAGAAGACCAAAAGAAGGCAACTACAGCCCTCTCTGTCAGATAAGTAGACAGAGATCAATCTAAAAGGTGAGGAAGAGAGACTAAGTTTGGCTTGTCCAGCTATTTGTGGCCGCAAAGATGGGAAACACTGAGAATCACCTTCCAATGTAGACAGTCCATGTTTAGATTAACAAAGAAATACCTTCCTGTGTTAACTAGAAATATTTTATTTCCTGCAAGTTCTATCTCTAAGGATACAGATAGACTGATTTTAATCTCTTTCCCACAAGAAAACCCCTCAAACACTGAAAAATAACTGTCTAATATCCCTGAAGCATCTTATTTCCTAGTCAGTATTTTAGCTCCATTTACCATTTTCTCATATGGAATTGTTTCAAGCTCCCTCACTGTTCTGGCTGTTTCCCTCTGAATGATTGATCGCCAGGTTGTCTATATCCCTCTTTAAATATAGCCCTCAATACTCTAAGGGAAGGTTTGAACATCACAAAGTAAAACCGGATTAGCGCCTCTCTAATTTTAGATCTATGGTCTAAAATTACACTGAGATCTCCTGACAGTCAAATCATATAATACTATTAGGTCTTATCAATATTAATGCCAATTAATGCATAGCCCCAAAACAATACAGTGCATGTTCCCTTTTTCAGCTTAATAGAATATTGGGTGACAGTGAATTAATTTGTCTGATGACCAGGAGCGGTCTTTGTAAACTGGGTTGGAGCCAGCTGTATTGTCTGATTTACTGTGATCAGCACTCTCAGAAGTCACTGTAATACAAGTACTACAGGTGCAAGACAGTGCCCAAAGCCTTGCCAAGCACAGATCAGCGCGCACACACACACACACACTCTCTCTCTCTCTCTCACTGGAATCCTGCATTAAGGCATTAAGGTTCCCTGACATCTTTTTCTTAGTTTTAAAGACAGTAACCAGTTCTGGTGCAGAATAGGCACTGAATAAATATTTGTTCAAAGAAGGAATACACTCAGGTGATTGCTAAATGTACTTTAAATTAGACAATGTGATTACTTAAATAAGAAAAAAACAATATATGGGGCTCAGTTGTCCAATTGTCAGCATTTTACAACCTAATTATATGAATATTTTGGTAAGCTCTCTATTTTATTGTCTGTGTAGACAGAAGGATAATCTTCTTAGGGAATAAAATATTTTTCCCCTTTAAGGTTAAGAATCTGATCTGTCTAAACTGCTTAGTCTCCTAGAGAGAGAAAAAAACTGATTATATTTGGGTGATAGTTCTCCTTGGTCAAAGGTAAATGTTAGCTCTTAGAAAGATCACACTAACATTCTCCCCAAAGCAAAACATTTTTAATTTGGACTTTTTGAAACAGCTATTAAGATAAAAAATCATCTCATTCTTTATCTGGGGGAGCTACTGACCTATAAATTGTTTTGGTAACAATCCCCTGCATTGGTATTACTGTAGACATACTGGCTAAAAAAGTGTGTTGCTAAAAACATAGTGAATATCTATCTAGCTTAAAATAGCTAAATATAAAATTCTAAAACAAACTTTCCCCCAAAGGAACAGACATCAGATATAAAAGAACATCAGAATTGTGCAGCCTCCAACTGGAGCACTGATGGCATTAAAACTAAATAAAATCATTAAGTTCTTTCACACAAAAAGTGTTTGGGTCTCTTAAGTCCTTAGTGCTGTAGATTATATATAGGCTTTTAAGTGTGTGTCTTCAAGGACCGCCTTAAGACATATTGATAGAACCTAAAAGTCATAAAGATGAATGTTTTGCTTTTGTTTTACTCTAGGGTTTTGTGTTGTTT